CCATCATATAGAATCAACAAAACAAACTCCGTGGCCTGTAGTCCGCAAGCGAACTATACCGACCGAGGGACTGCCGCTTGTCGGCGAAGTTAGTACCAACTTCAGCGGATAGAGGGTGTTGAGTGGTCAGCGCAACGGATCCCCACAGAAGTTAATCTCGGTTTTCTAGACTGGAGCCACTATTTCATTGAAGTAGCTCCTCAATTATCCTCACGAGGCTGAGTGGATCCCGTTCCCGACCCATTACTTCTCAGAAAATCTTGTAGCTCCGGGAATCGAACCCGGGACATCAGGATCTGTAGCCAGGAACTCTGACCACTAGACCACAGAGAAGGTCCATATAGAATTAACGGCAGAAAAAAAAATTAAATTTTGTGTCTGTATCTAAGCACCATCGAATTCCCATAAAAATTATTAAACATGTTCTGAAAATTGGAAGGGTAATTACGTAGGTAAAGGGGACGGAGGCAGCCACCGGCAGGAGACAGAATCGAAATGTGTAATGAGGAGCTTCATACTTTTTATATCTCGCCAAATATTAGGATGATGAGATTGGCACGGCATGTAGCACACATGGAAACAAAGACAATTAATACAAAGTTCTGGTCGGAGTACATGAAGGAAAGAGACCACTTGGGAGATCTAGGGGTAGATGTGAGAATGATATAAAAATGGACATTAAAGGAATATGATAGGAGGTTGTGGACTGAATTCATTTGGCTGAGAATAACGGCCAGTTCTTGTGAACACGGGTTCCATAAAATGCGGGCAGTCTGACTAGCTGAGCAATTGTTAGCTTCTCCAGAAGGACCGTGCTCCATGGAGTTTGTATTACGCGTTAATTTTACTATAGCAAATAATTTATGATCCATCACAGCTTGAAGCACAGCCATATTTCCCCCCCCCCTTGGTACTACAGCCCCAGTGGGCCTAGGCCTACCTCCATGAACTTCTCCGTTCACTTCGGTTTTTCTAGATCTTACGCATTCGGCAGGACTCCTTTGGCGGGTGATCAGCTCGTCGCAAGGCCTCTACCTGTACACAAACACAGAAAACGCATACACACAAACTAAACATCCATCCCCTAAGTGGGATTCGAAACCACGATCCCGGTTTCCAAAGAGCGAAGACAGTACATGCCGAAGCACAGCCATATACCTGCTTAAATTTCGTGTAGGCTTTGATAGATTTCCATTAGGACGCCATTCATGGTAATGGCCTTGAAGTGAAGTGAAGTCATAACTTTCTTGGGACAGATTCACCTCTGGACATCGAAGTTCCTGTCAACTGAAGTTATTCCATACTGTTCAAGACTTCTGCGACAGCACATCATGGGTTGCTCGGCGGAATGATTCCCATTAGTAACCCAACATTCTGCGCTACTGAAAGCATGGGAATGGTAAGGCATAGGGGCTCAAAATTAGGGGATAATTGGAGAATAAACAGGAGAGGTCTACATCAGAGCACAGTTTCACAACATTAAGAGACAGCTATGTATAGGCCGCGGCACAGCCCAAGCGGTTAGTCGCTGGCTTCCCGATCCCAGGTCTGGTCAAGTGGGATTTGTGGTGGACACAGTTGCGCTGGGGCAGGTTTTCTCCGAGTACTTCAGTTTCCCCTGCCAATCTTCATTCCACCAAATTCTCCATCATCATAATCACCCGGGGCAGGCTACAATAGGCCAATCAGTGACCGCCGCGCCGAGTGGACCCAGCTGGACTCCACCGCCCACTAAGCGAATTAAAAAAAAAGCGCCGTATATAAAAAAGGATAAAATTTAATGGGACCTATAGCACAGGAGAGAGAAGAAATGCATAAAATAATTTTAATAAGTCTGAAAATAGGATATTATTTGGGAAACATAATCGCAGATGGGACGACAATTTTACGTAAAACGGATTCTAAAAAATGGATATGAGGGTGTTGACTCAAAACGGGGATCAATATAGGGGCCTCTCGTGAACATGGCAGCAAACCTTCGGGGTCCATAATAGCGGGAGAACTGGTGACCAGTTACGCGACTACTGGTTTATCAGGAATGATTATGCTCCATGAACTTATTTAAAACACGCTTTGCCTTGTGTTAACTGGTATTTATCTTTGGTATATGACATAAACCCGAAAAATACTACTGACTGTTTTAATTACAATTTACCACGCATTTTATTGTTACAAATTACTTAGTAAATTCACACCGCACACTTGAACAATGTAAACATGCTTTCACTTTAAATAATTTGCCTTAGAATATTATATTTAAGCATCCTGTTGCACTCTACACGATAAATGATACAAACTCCGTCCTAAGTGCAAACAATATACATTTATATGTCTTTGATCTTGTTCTTTCTACACTACATGTTTCGGCCTCTATCGGCCATCATCAGGTGTATACTCTTAACGTCGCTGCCACACTGAACCCAGTCTAAAACTTAACATTTAAAAACACAATGTCACATTCTTCGTATTATCAACATCTACATCGTTGATATGTGTCTGGTATGTAGATTATGTTGCACACGTCGCACCCGATATTCTTGTAGTAGCACTCTAAAAATCTTTAGTTATGATGTTTTTAAAACCTTTTAAAATTTTCTCTAAATTTTAAATTTAAAATTTAAAATTCTTAGGGTTACTCGCCCTATGTCTAAGTGCTGGAGCGGCTAGTTCTTGTTTTCACACTGTACAGGTGTTATCTGTAATATACAAATATTCGTATTATTATTTTATGTACGTAATATTTTCTGTACGTAATATTTTCTTATGTGTGTATATTGTTATTTGTACATACATACCAGACACATATCAACGATGTAGATGTTGATAATACGAAGAATGTGACATTGTGTTTGTAAATGTTAAGTTTTAGACTGGGTTCAGTGTGGCAGCGACGTTAAGAGTATACACCTGATGATGGCCGATAGAGGCCGAAACATGTAGTGTAGAAAACACAAGATCAAAGACATATATATAAATATACTGTTTGCACTTAGGACGGAGTTTGTATCATTTATCGTAATTTGCCTTAGTTTCAATAATGATAAATCATTTTATTCATTAAAATGAATTTCCCTGTTGCAATAAATAATTCTATTTACTTACTGGAAAACAATGTCTTTTGGAACTGGTTGTACGAAAAGTTGTGAAGTCGTGACCATGCCTGATTTGAGAATTGCTGTTACATACAATCATGCTCTACATAATCACCTCAGTTCAGGACACTCCGAAGTATAGAGGCGGCTTGCATTAAGGCAATAACAAGTTTCTACCAACTTTCTCTTGAGTAACATGACCTGTATTGCAACAGAAGCAGCGGTAGCCATCCTGAATTCGCTCTAGATGAGCTGCGCAGAAGAGATGCAACAGTGGTCAGTGACCTACCTGCGTAACTTCCATCACCAGTCAGGCTGACGCGCGGCGCGCGGCGCGCAGGGTTTCACACCAAACTCTCTACAAGAACTTACCGGGAAATTGCACAGTTCACTAACACTTACATTGGCTCCCAAAACCTGGTAAGCTTATAGGGCCTAGGGGCAAGTCTGGGATTTCGTACTGTAGGAAAGGTTGTTGACAATAACCGCTACAGTTCTTCGTAGCTTTGCGATTATAGACGCATAACTAGAGAATTATACTGCAATTATATTGCGGTCTAAGGCATGTACTGTCTTTGCTCGCTTGGAAACCGGGATCGTGGGTTCCAATCCCACTCAGGGCATGGATGTTTAGTTTGTGTGTGTGCGTTTTTTTGTGTTTGTGTACAGGTAGGGACCTTGCGACGAGCTGATCACCCGCCCAAGGAGTCCTACCGAATGTGTAAGATCTAGAAAAACCGAAGTGAACGGAGAAGTTCATGGAAGTAGGCCTAGGCCCACTGGGGCTGTAGTGCCAAGGGGGAAAAAAATCTTGTTAATACTGATTAAAAAAATTCGCTAGTGGGGGGTGGAGTCCAGCTGAGTCCACTCGGCACGGCGGCCACTGATTTGCCTATTGTAGCCTGCCCCGGGTGATATGATGATGGAGAATTTGGTGGAATGAAGACTGGCAGGGGAAACCGAAGTACTAGGAGAAACCCCACTCCAGGGACACTTTGTCCACCACAAATCCCGCTTGGCCAGACCCGGGATCGAACCCGGATCGCCGCGGTGGGCAGCCAACGACTAACCGCTTGAGCTATGGCGCGGCCCTGTTAATACTGATACAAAAATATGTAAATCCGTTTTATACGGTTTATAATTTTGAAAGCATATTTTCAATTGCTATATGAAGGACTGAACTGAGATTCCAAGACACATTTCAGGCAAAAATAAATTTTAAGTAATATAAAGTATAATATAATAGTTATTAATAATAACTGTACTACTGACTTCTAGGCGAACAGTTAGGTAACATACTGACTTTTCAGAGTACACACAAACACTGTAACAATAATTGAACTGAAAAAAAGTTTCATAATGAAATTCCTCGGACTGCCGCAGCTAATACATTTAAACTTTTGGCGTAATAAGAGACACATTGCAATACGGAAGAGACATGATAACCAGTTGAAATTACTGGATTAACGACAATTCCTATGTAACATAGGAAAACAAATATATAAGAGGGAAGCAATAATTTGCTAAAACGTAATGCACGAAGTATCTGCTTATTCATTAATATTCATTATTCATCTAAAATGTATTCAACGAAATTAAAACGTACAGGAGACTAGAACTGTTCACCTGATTTTTCAAGCTGTTAACAAAATTAATCACATTCTTAACTGTCTGCGATGTGACTAAATTAGGAATCAATTAAAATTACAAAGGAATACATGCTGCGTGCAGAGTCCAAAACTCCAGTGAAGCTGAACCAATAATTTTAAAATTTTATTTCTAGCATAATACGAGTATATGAAACTCTCGTATTGATGTCGAATTGTTCCTAGTATCGCATCGTATCAAATTACCGGTATAAACTGATGTCTAGACATACGAAATAAATGAATCACACATCTGCCTTACCTTGAAATGTTATTCTTCCTGGCAGAATTCGTGGCGTCTCGGCGCCTTTCGTTCCTCGGAAGTACGATTTTCATGGCAGGGCGTTATAAATCAGAAAACATATTTCTGGAGGTAGGAGACAGGCAGAATTGACTGCACTGGACGTGAGCAGAGGTCAAAGTTGAGGATTTTCTTCCCTGTAATAAGGAAATACACATATTTCAATAACAATATTTTATGCCCAGTGGAAAAGCGCTTTAAAAGAGGGCAGTTTTGAAACATGGGAATCAACAGACACCGCTAATAAATATCAGGGTGTGTGTAGTAGTGCATCCCTTTGTGCCGTACTCTCCGATCACCTTCCTTTTTATGAAGGCATTTATCATTCACGATACAAAATTATTCTAACCGGTAGATATTCAAGAATGTTTATTACAATAATAGCACCATCATATTTTGCCCCATTTATTTTAATGGGGCAGCCTAGGCATTTCGTTTGATAAATGTCGATAGTTATATTTATCTGTTTGTGTATGGTGCTTGAATATGTTTTGCACTGCGTTTTGTGTGCGTGACGCTATTTTTATTCGCGTGTTTTTAAAAAGCTCGGTAATTCATCTTGCTTCTTTGCATCAATATGTAAAAGTGGCCCATTTTTTTGTGGTGCTGGGGGTGAGTCTGTATGTTTTGTTTTCGTGGTTGTGGACGTGGTTTTTCGATTAGGTTTATGTTATATTCATTATTTCGTAGTGTGTTTTTAATGGTGTTTCTGTCTCTTGTGCTCTTTTGCTTATTGGACATGTGGCTAAACCGATTTAGTAGGTAGTTAGTACCTGAGAGCTTGTGTTCATACGGATGGCAAGAGCCACTGGCTATTATCTTATCCGTCTGTAAGGGTTTCCTACATATTGACAATTTAAACCTTTTGTCTTTGCGATGTATTGTGAGATCTAAGAAGTCCCTCTCTTCATGTAGCTATTTTTATAGTAAACTTTACGGATAGTTTAAGTTGTTGAATTCGATGAGTGTTTCTTCTGTTTGTTTTGTTTTGGCCGTATATTATGTCATCGACATATCTGAAATATGCGATTATTTGTTGTTATTTTTAGGATTAGATATATTTATTTCCATGTGCTGTAATATGTTGGATCACCCATGGCTAATGAACGCATTATATATATATACCTTCAGTGATTCAGTATTGAGGGGGTGGGGTTCCCCATGCACCGCAACTGATAGTCTATTGTGCATCCCCCTTTTTAATTTCTACCGTCTCCATCCCCTACCGATACTGGTGCTCGCTATAAGTCCCTTTCTGCCAGCGAGGTTTCTACCCTCTACATGGCAGTGGTATCTAATGATTAGTCCCTTTCTTGTCAGCGAGGTCGTCCCTCCTCTGGCAGTGGTACCTAATACTTCCCCATCTACCGGAGGCATTGGAAACTATGTGGGCGGGAAAATTTTTGGCCTAATTTTGCTCAGAGGCCTCCTAGAGGCATGAGGTTCTTTTACGTGCCGTAAATCTACGACACGGGGCACACGGCTTAAAGTCCCTCCCGGAGGACTTGTTCCCTGAATTTTTCCGCCCTTAAAAATTCCACGACCTCCGCCGGGTTTGATCCCGCGTACCTTGAGTCATGAGGTGGGAACGTTACCCCTAGACTACGGAGGCCGCTTTATATATACCTTACGTATACATATACGTGTACACATTTCGTTTTAAAAGTATACGTAATATACGATATAATTTTCGTTGTGAAAACGATGTACACAGGACGTGAAAAGCAGATGCTACTTTATCTTAACATAGCTTATGCCATAACGGCAGCTGAGTTACTTTAACTGTCCTAAACTTGACCACCGCCAACTTGCGCCTTTTATACTTCGTGTACAGACACATCAAAAACTGTCTGCTTTAAATGCCAAAATTCGAATGCATCGCTGAACAGCGGCGGCGGAAGGGAAGCAAGGTGCGTGGAATACCGGGAAAATATCTGCGCAGCGCGGCTACGCCCACAACTCGCACGTGCCGCCCGTCTGTTGCTAGGCTCCAGAGAATTTACATCCTGCGGCACTGTGTTGGGGATCTTTACGCACTACAATGGCAAACTGTGAGCGTACAGTGCCACACAAAATGGTTTACAGCAGCCCTGTCCAACGCGGCGCCCGCGGTATATTTTTCTGGCGCCCTCCGTAACCACATATAATTGAGCCGATTTTTAATATTAATTCAAATTGTAAGACAAGAGACATTTCTGAACTAGTAGTAGTAGTGTGTGGTGGCGCCCGCACCTCCATAGGCATCAGTGAATTGTGCCCGAGTACATAAGAACGTTGGACAGCGCTGGTTTACAGCAATGCCTCGCCAACCGCGTCGGTTAAGTTGCTGATAAAACAACGCATAACAAGATCAAGACTTTATGGGAAATTGAGGGTCAGAGAAACCACGGCCGATGTTGACAGCTATTAAAGCCTGTTTCCTGTACCTTCGACAAACACACAAATTACAGCAAGCCCTCAACTTACACAATTAATTCGATCCGAATTTTTCTGTGTAATACAATATATTTTTTATATATAGGTTCGTTTTAGTGGATAGTTACAGCTCAGCAAGTATATACAATAAACATGTATCTATCTACTTACCTATCTATCTATCTATAGCTCTACGGTCCTTTTTATTAGATCTTGGCCGCTGTTTCAGTCCCTTAATCCTACATACACAGTCAGCAGGACACCTCAGACGGGGGATCAGCCCGTCGCAAGACCGCTACCTACACACAGAACAACACAAACATGGAAAAAAACGCATACAGACATCCATGCCTTATATGGGATTTGAACCCACGATCCCAGCGTTCGAGCGAGCGAAGACAGACTGTTGCACCTGCTCACGCTGGTTCGCTCTCGGATTTCTTTTCTCCTACCCTGAAGATGGGGGCGATACGTTCCTCCGAAACGTCGGTTAACAGACTATCTACACGGCGCCACATCCCAGAAGACTGCTTTCTTCAATTTACTTACTTCAACTCTTACCACATTTTCTGTCAGGTCATATGGACAGACCGAGTCAATTTATTTTGATTTCAGCCAAGCCTTAAATGAAGTGCCCCATACTCTTTTGTTACATAAACTCAGTAATTTTGGGCTCTCTGATCTTTATATTAATCGATTCCAAAGTTACTTATCATCCAGAATTTGTTGTTCGCACTTTAGGGAAGGCATTCTCACCCTTTCCAGTGCTGTCATGGGTGCCACAAGGCTCCACTTTGGGACTTCTGTTGATCAATATTTTTATCAATGATTTATGGGCCAAAATACACTTTTACGAATTTCTGCTATTTGCTGATGTTTAAAAAATATTTCTCATCATAAAGTCTGCTAAAGATTGTTAATTACTACAATCCGACATAGATTCTGTGCAGAAGTGGTGTATTGAAAATTATACGAAAACATATTCAAAACAAATATAATTCTTTTAACTCGTAAAATAACAGTATGTGCGTGACGTGAACAACTTTTAAAGTGAATTTAAAAAGTTTTATAGAAAGACGTGTTGCACGTGAGACGGTAGAACCAGTAACATCTGATACCAACAGTATCCAATTTAATTGCTTTTTGCGTGATCTGTGAATCGTACGAACTGACTGTGTAAATGATCTTGGGCTTATGTTAGAAAGCAGCCTGCATTTTCATCGTCATGTTAACTCCTTACATCCTCAGGAACTAAAGCTGCTAGGACTAATTCAATTCATCACATATAATTTTTTTTCTATGGATAGTCTAAAAGTTTTATATCACCTTATTTCGTTGAAAGCTTGAGCACGCGTCTGCCGTCTGGAATAACCTAACTTCAGCAGATTCTAATAAGCTAGAAAACACACAAGGAAAGTTTACAAATTTATGCTATAATCGATTTATTTAGTCCAATTCTTTTTGTAATTATGAATCAATGTTGAATTATTTATATTTTAAAACGTTCTATTCCAGGCGAAAAAAAAATCTTGCGCATTATTTCATATTAACGTTTTCAAGAACAAACTTGACGGTTGTTCTGTTATGGATCCTGCTGATCACTAAGCAAATTAGAGACTTCCCAAGCTGTAACATCAGTACTGTCTCACGACTTAGCCCTTTAACTAGGTGCGTCACAGCTGCAAACACAGAAAGTTTCTGGGAGTTAATAAACAAAACATCTCCTTTGAGGATACATTTTCCTTTGCTTAATCTTACTGAGTTACGTCATTATCGTGTTACCTGTGCTATTTTATTTTCTAGGATTAAACTGTAGTCTAGTTTTAGTTTTGCTTCTAGCTTTAGCTAGATTTTGTTACGAACATTTTCATTGCTCGCCTGTTATAGACCACTTGCTGTTGGCAAGGGCTTAAATAAATAAACTGAATTGAACTGTGTGTGACTATAGACGGGATTTCGACTGGTAATTGCATTTATTGAACACTGACAGAACGTAACTACAAGTAACTATAGCACTATCTCTAATGCACACACTCTGCAATTGACTACAGCACGTACTGAGTCTCTTCAGTCTGCTGCGTATTCACCGGTTGTCTGGTAACGGCTTCCAACACCGTAGATCTCTCAATTTCTGTGTTAATGGCTTCACGTCCTTGCTGGCTGTCACCTATCTCATTGCAACTCTCAAACTGGCTTCCAACTGCCGCACTCTCAACTCCACTCCACAAAATCCCAGGATGGCGGCCATCTCACACCAACCTCCTACTCTTCTCACTGCGGTCTCAAGACTCTTCTCTAATGGCAACTGTCCCTCGCTATCTAGCCTTAGCACGGATCGCACAGAAAACACCTCTCGTAACAGCTCTTCTATTGTCGCGTGTGTCTTGTTGCGGGCATTATCTTGTCATTGTTTACAGAGCCATTACATAGAAATGGCTATTGTGTAGCTGCTTATTTCGCGGTCGTTGCCTAGCAACGGCTCTACATGCCACAGTATGTCCAAAATATCTTACGACTTCCATTTCTAGTGTGTTCACAATAAAAAGTTTCAAACGTACACATATTTGCTTGGCCATGTCATCTGTCTGTCCTCAAGTAACAACTCGATAACCGCTGGAAAAATTATAATGAAATTTGGTACTGGAGAATTTTATTAAATTGCATCGCAACATTCCCAGTTTCATCCAAATTTGACGAAACAACCGGACACTTTACATGAAGA